TTTTTTTTTTTTTTTTTTTTTTTTCAAGCCCTGTTCTCCCTTCGATCTTCTTCCCTCTTTTCTTTCCCTTTGTCCTTTTCTCCTTTTCTATTCATGACCCCCTCTTCCCTTATCCTTTTCTTTTTCTTTCTACTCTTTCTCTTTTCTTTTTTCCCTCCCATTCTCTCCCTTTCCCTCCCATTCTCTCCCTTTCCCTCACTCTCTCCTTGAACCGTATACTGAACCGTACTCAACTCCTCATATTGCGACTGTTCATCCCTTTCCAGGTCTCCAAGAGAACTCATCGTTTTGAAGTTGGCATGAAGCTTGAAGCTATAGATCGAAAGAACCCGGATCTAATCTGCGTTGCCACGGTAACCAACGTGATTGGCAATTACTTTCTTGTTCATTTTGACGAATGGGATGACACATATGACTATTGGTGTCAAGATGATTGCCCTTATATCCACCCTATTGGCTGGTGCGAGGCGACGCCGGGAAGGAAGCTCAATCCACCAAATGGTAATATTAGTGAACACTGCGGTCAAACGCATGCGTAAACGCTAACATTTTAATGCGTTGCGCATGCGCTAACATTTGAATGCGATCCACGTACTAATAAAATAATGTATCATATCATAACATACATAATTAGAGGAGATGTAGCATGATTATGAAATACTTAAATAACGTCTTGTTACTACTCATCCAATGGAAATACCTGCGTACGACACGACACGACTCGACATGATTTGCCATAAGACGTACACCTATTTCAACAAAACGTTGTCATCGTCAAAGGCGATAGGAGATCATTCCAAGATCCAAGAATAGCTGGCATGACTCGTGTTTCTGCCTCTTATTCTCGTCAAGTACATGGACCTTAGAGTTGAGACATTGTTGATTCAATGTTCTTTGTATTCAACGAAACCATTTCCATGTCGGAATGAACTATCGCCTATTGCCTTTGGCGATGACAGCGTTARATAGTGAAATAGGTGTATACGAAATTTGCTTTAACGTTACTATCACGGTTACGGTAGGCTTTGTGTCTATCACTACTGATAAACCTTGCGCAAATTCACGCCACGGTCACACCACGGCACGCTAACCAATCATCTAACCTCAAATCACTGTGTCTTTAGTTATACCATAATTCGGCAGGAACAAGTTAACGGCGCATTTCCATTACCCATATGTCACATGATCATTAATAATCAATAATAAGTTATTATTAATGATTTATTGATTCGTTCAATAGATGATGAGGTGGATTCATTCACATGGCAGGCCTACCTGAAAACGACAGGTGCTGTGGCAGCTCCTAAGGAATATTTTAAAAAGGTAGGTTTTTGGTTTTGGTTGTGCAAATTAATCAACCGTCTTCTGTGTCACAATGTTCTCACATCCGTGTAATGTTACGTAGTGACGTTGTATATTTGCGCAAGTTGATCGTCTTCTGAGTCACGCAATCCGCACATTCATGTAACATAGTAACGTAACACATGTTCATTATTGTCGCTTCCGTGAATGGGTTGTGCAAGTTTTCCGTCTTCTGTGTAACGGAATGTCCTTACATTCATGATGTAAAGTAGTAACGTAACATATGTTATATAATTGTAGCGCCCTCTTCCAACCTTCAAGCCAAACCAGAAACTAGAATGTGTCGATAAGCGAAATCCATCTCTGATACGCGCAGCAACAGTCGCAGACGTTCAAGAGTATCGAGTACGTGTTCATTTTGATGGCTGGGATGATATTTATGATGACTGGATTGACGCTGATTCTACTGATTTACACCCCGTGTCTTACTGTGACAAGACTGGACATCCATTGGAACCACCACTCAGTAAGTCCAGCTGTTCTGTTCTTCCATCTTCTCCTTTTCCTTTTCCTTTTCTTGCACTATGAGATATATTGAACTATGAAATTCTTTAACCATATTTCTGTACCATTACAATCCTCAGCTACAGCTGACAAGATCTCATCGGTAGCCTGCCCCACTCCAGGGTGTAAAGGCATTGGTCACGTTAAAGGAGCCAAATACTCGAGTCACCACAGCACATTCGGTTGTCCATACTCTCTACAAAACCTGAACAAAGAATCGTGTCTTGTTGACAGACTGTCGACCAACTCCATGACTGAAGAGTCAGACTGGTCGTATGCGAGCAAGAATAAATCAAGTGTTGGTGCTGTGCGGAGAGGTACGTTGACAAATACCTTATGGACCTTACTCACGGTATAGGCGGTATAGCCTGTGGAACAGTAGATTATACGCCACGTAGCCTCGTATTTAAGCGTTTCAGGACGAGGTTACGCGTGATTACGCACATATTTTTTTTCTCATGGGATAAAACCTGGTGCTGTCATCGAGGTCCATAATGACGAAGCAAAATTAACAATAAACGTTACCATATCCAAGTTACTTAAGCTTGACAAACATTAAACCTAAAAAAGAAATCATGTTCAATTGTTTGATTTTAGGAGAACTATCCACTGAAGGTGTTTGCCCCACTCCTGGATGTGATGGTAGCGGACATGTTGGAGGACACTGGAGAACACACCAAAGGTACGTTGGTATAGGAACACTGTTACTGTGACAATTCATACGGCGTCTCCTAATGATTAACGTAACAAATGTGAGCCACTAGAGTATGGTAAATGAAATAGTCATAAAACCTAGCGCGCAAGACATGAAGCCTTACACAAATGGAAGCCAGTGTGTGTAACCATGTGACTCAAAATCCCTTGAGATATGAATGACAATGAAACAACCGCCATGTTGGTTGACCTAACAAGAGAAACAAGATGGAGGTTATGACGTAGCATGCACATGCTCTATAGTTCATAGGATTCTCCTTTTTTCAACTTAACGTAGAATGATAATTTCTTTCCCTCGCCGGTAGTATGGCAGGATGTCCGTTAAGCGAAGTGAACCTGAAATCCGTTCCTGTGCCAATACAGCCCGCCCCACCCAAGACAACGTCCCAGGATATCAAGAAAAAAGTACCACCGCTGACCATTATTACTACAAATCCAAGCGCGAAAACACTTAATTACGTCACTTCCAAAAGGTTAGTACAGAAAACACTGATGATGTTGCGTTTTCTTGGAGCTTTTAACTTAATGACAAGACAACAATTGGTTTATTAACGTAAGGTGCACTTCATATCTCTATATTAATGCAGGCAACTTTCCAGACTGCATATTCCAAACCGACTCACTCATAGGCCCTTTCTGATAAACAGGACGCATCGCGGTCTAGCCTCGGTACAAACAACACCATATAAGGCATGATAAGGCTAGACCATAATGCACCAAGTTGGCTATCTCAGAAAATGTCTATTCCTATCTAGAAAAGAATGTAACCGCGGGCAAGAAAAAACGGCCAGGAGTGGTAGCTGTGGCTATTTCAATGCAACATAATAGTCTTCCTTTTTAACTCAAATTCTTTATCCTTCACTCAAAACAATTTTATGATTTTTTTATTGTAGACGCCCAAGTCGTGAAATTAAGCGAGAAAAACCACAATTAAAACGTAAGTGAAGAAAATAAAACTCCTACTTTTTTGCCTTTTTTCTGCAAATATATTTTTAATGTAAAAGTCTTGATATATTCATAGAGATTTTGCCCATCAAAGAAGAAAAGAAGCCGGACAAACCTCCAACGAACGCCCTCGACCAACCCAAGAACAATGCTCTTCTTCCCAACGATTTCCATGAGAACCACTCAGTACCAAAGCCAACCAACGAAAGAAAAAAGTCTCGAGAACGTCTGCGCAYGAGTAAATGGACCATAGATGACGTAGTCAAACACGTGACGTCACTCGGATGTGCAGAGCAAGCCAAATTATTTGCTGACCAAGTACGTATACTACAGTGGGAAGTAATATTTAAAAACTCTAAAATGAGTGCGTGTGTCTTAGTATAGTGTAGTGTTGTATAAAAACGTCACACCGGGAGCTGTAGTTCACGAGATAATCAACAGGTAGCCCAAGCTCGGCATTTGTATGAGAGGTACATTTGCATATTGTCGACCCTATAAATTCTTTTATACTAATGTCGAGCTTGGGCTACCTGTGGATAATCTTGCTTAGGAACACGAAGCGTTGCTAAGTGTTTTGCATTTTTTTTCTTTTTTTAATCTCATCTCAAATCATACATACACTGAATCAGATTTACATCAAATACAATCATAGACCAAATGCGAAACCTACCCCAATGCGAGGCCCAACCCGCGAAAGAAGCGATCCGGCGCGATCAGTGACTTTTGCATTTTTATTGAATACCTTGTTTGTATTGTTTTATTTTAGAAAATTGACGGCGAGTCGTTTCTACTTCTCACTCAAGACGATATTGTCAACATAATGAAAATCAAACTCGGACCTGCACTGAAGATTTTCAAGAGCATTCCAAAAGTATAACCAGTCATTCAAGAATAAACAAGTTGTCAGAGCTCGAGAGCTACGTCATTTTGGAAGTAGACCTCTTTGCCTTGGGCGTAATGTTTGCGCATTTCAGACCACGTGTCATTCCCTAGAGTATCAGTTGCACATGAGAAGACACGTGAATTCAAACAAATAATTTATTCCCAAGAAAATGACACGTGGTCTGATTTTGGCAAACATTACGCCGAAGGTAGACATCTGTTTCGCGTGGATTCGCGACAATAATAATATTCTAGAGATGATATCAAGAGATATACAGGAACATATTCAAAATACATCTATCTAGTACCATTTCCATCCTTGCCTCAGACCAATATTCAGTCAAAAATCTGCGCCACAAATATTTTTCCCATTTTTGTACAATAGATATTACTGCCTTCTAATTGACCATTTGCAAAGATATTTCTAGATGCTTGGATTTTTATAGTTTTGATACGGTCAATTACATAATTAATATTCAATTAAATTCATATTAATGAATAAGTAATTAATATTCATTAATTATTAATTAACTTTAATTAATAATTTATTAATTAATTTTAATTAATAATCACGTTTGCAAATTTACTGCGCTCAAAACGAAATTTTGATAACAGTTCAAGTTCTTGCAGTGTGTTTATACGAGAATGTGCATTTAGTAAGAAAATTATAGAGAAAATTACATCACAATCAAAAGACATACAGTACATATATATTTATATTCACAATTTGGCAATCATTTGATTGAAAAAAATCCACAAGAAATACACATATTTGAACATAGTTTTGGCTAGTGTTCCTTGCATGACGTCAGAACACGGGTTGCGAGGGAGAATGCAGCATATGCCAGTATTTAGCGATTACGTCATTTATAATCATGATCGCTATTAAAAGAAAAATTTATCATTTAGATGAAAATAAATATTTTTTTATTTGTAAGGTTGTATATGTAGTACGAAATTAAGGCTTTGATATTCAGATTTCATTATCAAGTTTATATTGATGACGTTGACATTTTCTTTAAATGTAGGTACAGCTAATAGTATAGTGTAAGTTCACTACATTGTAGATACGTGATCATTAAAATTTTGTACAATTCTATCGCTTAAAATAACTTCAGTCTGCTTTGTTGGCTATTCGATATGGATGTCTGATAAATCACGTGATAATGGCAATCTTTAGCCTCTTTTTCGCGCAAAGGCTTGGCTACTTTCTGGCCGACATCGAGAAGAAACAGATTGGGGCATTCAAAGACTTTCTTTTACTTTTAGAGAAGATTTAAGGTAATTGTACAAGCTTTTGGGGTTCATTCTTGATTTGAGCTAAAGAATGAACAGTAATTGCTTTGAAAATACCATTATTATGCGCATTTTGGCTGCAAAAACATATATATCTCACACGTGTTGAAAATCTTATCGGCAACCGGCCTCGGCACGCCCAGTTCTATGAAATAATTCAGAACGGCTTTACAGTTCTGTGCTAGAGGATTATTTTGGATTAGTAAAAAAACTGAAAAAGGGAGAGAGAGAGAGGTTCAAGTAAACAAGCTCACTGTACACCGAATTGAAATATGGCGACCAATTTGAATAACTATGGTACTGGACTAAGACCTTAACAAAGCTTTTGATCTCACCTTCATTCCGTGCATTCATCCCTCAGGAGCACGGATATATTGCATTCCAGAACAGTACACACGTGTTGCGTTCAACCGCGACATTACACCGCATCCACCTCTGGGCGAATGGGCGCAGCTAGATTCATCTTGTAAACACTGACTTTCAATGCCAAACTAAATTATTTTTTCATGTAACGCTGCCCAGAATTGCTACACATTTGGCTATTTTCGTAACGAATTTCGTTTCGCGACTTGATTTTCACTGTAAAACCAAGTTTTCTTGACGGTATTCAATAGGTGGTTGATTTCGACAAGAAAATTCCCCGCTGGAATAGATTCACTTTTTTTGGAGCCCAGCTCTTTGTGCTAACGCATTCCATGACAATTCAAGCCTCGCTTCTTTACTATAAATGTCCTGGAAAAAGCTTCGCGAATAAAAAAATAATCATTAACAACGAGTGAAAATTTTATTGAAAATCAACACTTACAAATGTTTTACGGTTATCTTTCAATATCTATAAAAAACATTACGTTCTTCTCACGTTCAGTGGTGTGTCAACACGACAATAGGTCATTTCACGGATCCCGTTACTCAACCTCAGCTTCGTCAGCGTGTAATTATTCTTTAGAATTTGACTACAGTCCGCAGTAATGAAAGGAATTTACACATCAACGAACAATTGAAACACTTAAAAATTTCACAGGTTGTAGGCAATTTCTAAAGAATATATTACACGCTGACGAGGCTGAGGTTGAGGAACGGGATCCGTGAAATGGTCTATTAACAGGAAGGTGTACTGTACGTTTATGACGTCCATTGTTAAACTTAACGCTAAGGAATAAATATAATGGGAAGCCTGTGTACCGTCACAGAAATTTTGAAACCATCTAAGCACAGGAATCCCACTCTTTAATATTAGGGTTGTTTAGTTCTTTTTGTACCAAAGGCATCTCGTGGATGATTTCTTGTTTTGACAACAAGTTCTTGGTCTACCACAGGCATCCCATAGATATCAGAATGTCCATAATCTACAAAAACAATCAGTGTTTACATTGGATCCTCCTTATCCACAACGAAGCAAAATAACGCTCGGCAAAGGCACTTCCTTATTGCGACCAGCTGGTGTCAACTTTCCTCGTAAATCTAAACTGATCTCGACTTGGAAAACACAGGAAGCCCAGTCCACTTGATAATATTGGTCGTGCCCATCAAGTACACGATTTACCGTCGATGCTTCAAATCCTTTGCATGTTCTTAATATTTGCAATCTTTGTAACGTCCAGTATTGCAGGTAAGTCAAATGTGTTTCAGTGCTTGGGAATACTGTTGAATATCTTTAAGGCAGGACCAAGTTTAATCTTCATTATGTTGACGATGTCTGGTTGGGTGAGTAGAAGGAATGCTTCACCATCGATTTCCTGAAGGAAAATGAAAAGAAATTTTAACATAATATTCAAGTGAAATTCGTAGAAGAAAATATTAACGTTTTTACACGTCACTACCAGTCGGATGGTTTCGTGCTCATTACATTACATTACACTACATTTAACTACACCACACCACACCACACCACACCACACCACACCACACCACACCACACCNTGAAAAGAAATTTTAACATAATATTCAAGTGAAATTCGTAGAAGAAAATATTAACGTTTTTACACGTCACTACCAGTCGGATGGTTTCGTGCTCACCACACCACACCACACCACACCACACCACACCACACCACACCACACCACACCACACCACACCACACCACACCACACCACACCACACTACATCACACTACATCACACTACAAAACACGGACGTGACGTTAAATGACATGAAGTGACGTGACACTAAACTGACCTGTTCTTCGAATAATTTGGCTTGTTCCGGGCACCCCAGTGAACAGACATGTTTCTCTACTTGTTCTACCGTCCACTTTCCCATCTCTATCTTCTCTTTTGAAGGTTTTTCGTCATGCAGTGAGTAGTGTTCTCTGCGTCCATTGACGGGCAGCCGTGCAAAGCCGTATCCCCAGGTGTTATAATAAGGTGAGATGTACTGGATACCTTTCTCCACAACTGATGATGGAAACAGAAACAAGAAAAATATTTCAAATCGTTGTACAGCAGTGTTAGCTGATAATACTCCAGTTTCCGATTATTTGAGAGCGAGCCATCCACTTTGTGTGGAATATTCACGTGTTCCAGTGAAGGTCCGTGAAATTTCAAAGTGTTTGTATTGTTGACGCTATGCATTTTACCGTACGCATTTGTTTATTTGTTCATTGTTATTCAGTTATTTTTTGACACTGAGTATATGCTTTTAAATCAAGGAACAAAACGGTATTAAAGGTGTAACTGATATTTAGTGAAGTAAAAGAACACATATCCTATTTTACATGTGTGACTAAACTTTGTTTAAAAAGCATAAAAGCTGATGCTTTAGCATGTGATAGAGCAAGTGCGCCGTGTGGTTTAAGCGAAAGATATTCGGGACACCATTTCAATCTTTGGATTTTTTTACTTCATGTTGAGAAAATGGAGGCCGGTGGGAGAAGGCAACGAAAAGATTTTTTACTCACATTTTGGTCTTGTTGTCGATGGCTTCTCCTCTTTGTAGCTGTGACGCCTGAAATTGAAAAAGATAAAGGCATATTATACACCAAGGACTCGTAGGACTTGAATGCTCACATTCTGATATTGTGGAGGGAAGGGGGGAGGGAGGGAGGTAGGGAGGGAGCTAGCTAGCTAGCTAGCTATATAAAGTAGCTTAAAATTGTAAAAAAATCACGCCTACACATAAAGATTAAGTTACATCTAGTCAACCCACCGAGCAGTAGATTTGCTATTCATGTTATTAGCAGTCAGACTTGAACCAACAGTAGACGCATTCGATATAGACACTTTAGTAGAGGAGAAAGACGATGTTGACAGATGGCTGTTTCGGGCACTGCGTGATGATTCGTTACTCGGACAACCTGTGGATCTGAAATCCCAAAATATCTTTGATTTAGAACGTTGCTGGCTCATTAGGAGGAGGAGAAAGGGAGCTAGGGGCAGGGAAGGAACTTGGATAGAGAAAAGAGACGATCTTTGACTCAGATCTTTTTGAGGTTAGCCAAGCGTCCATAAGTTTACAATCATCAAATTTACACTAAACTAACGCGCTCATTACCATTCTTTAACGAATTTAGGCAACTTTATTCGGCCCCGTCTCTCTTATCTATGGTTGATTTACACTAAAGTTGTCAATACTTACATGGATTTAGATTTCCAATGCGCTGGTAAAAAGCTGCTACCATCACAGCTAGGATTAGGGCTACCAATATTGTTGGGACTTACTGGTTCGTCTTAAAGAAGGAACAAGAAGTCGGTCAATTTTTTTGTACTTGAAATTCATGCCTGTTATAACAAGGTAAAGATAGGCAAGCAGGCGGAAAGAGGGACACGGTGGAGGGGAAGAGGGAGGCACGCAAGGAAGAAGACGGGGAGAGAGGGAGGGAGGCAAGCAAAGAAGGACGAAAAGAGTTAGGGAGGGAGACAGCTAGGTGAAGAGGGAGGGAGGGATACAGGTAGGTAGGGGGCAATAGGGTAGAGAGGAAGGCAGAGGACTAGGAAGGAAGATAAAAAAACAGTCAGTACCTTTGGGATCCTTTCCATTTGGTGGCTTATCCCTCTTTCCATACGACCAGTCTGACTCTTCAGTCATGGAGTTGGTTGACAGCCTATCAACAAGACACGATTCTTTGTTCAGGTTTTGTAGAGAGTATGGACAACCGAATGTGCTGTGGTGACTCGAGTATTTGGCACCTTTCACGTGACCAATGCCTTTACACCCTGGAGTGGGGCAGGCGGCCGATGAGATCTTGTCTGCACGAGCTTAGAAACGATAAAGGACTACCATTAAACACCGTTGGTTACCATGGTGATGAAATAACAACTACTAAGTTGTCATGGAAACGGAAGGTAACTGATACCTTAAAAGTCCCTTGCGCCATCTTGAAAGGTAACCATGCCTTTGAAACGAGACGAAAGGTGAGCTTGCAATGACAACGATATGTGAATAATTGTYCAAGGTGTTAAAAAAGGTCTCTATTTTTGCAAGCTCACTGTTCGTCTCGCTTCGATGTAAAGGCACGGTGCTACCTTTCAAGATGGCTCAGCGAACTGTGAAAGGGACTATTCATTAAGGTATATATATTGCTGCGTAAAAGATCGAGTTATCAGGCACTTACTTAGAGGGGCTTCCAAGGGATGACCAGTTTTCTCACAGTAAGACACCGGGTGTAGGTCAGTGGAGTCGGCATCATACCACTCATCGTAGATATTATCCCAGCCATCAAAATGCAGCTTTACTTTATACTCATCTAAATCAGCCACCGTTGCTGCGCGGGTCAGGGATGGATTGCGTTTGTCTACGGCTTCAAGTTTCTGTCCTTTCTTGTAACCGGGCGCAAAACGCTAGAGGAGCCAAGCAAAAGATAACGTGAGAAATAATGGAGTGGATTTCGTGACTTTCATGACTGTGGAACAGCGCTTTCACGGTACGGAATTGATAATATCCTATGAATRATATCACAGTGCGCGAGATGGATGCTTATCCAATGAAAATGCTCAGACACAGTCTCTTCACGGCCACAACATCACACGTAGGTGTCATAAATTGTCAAACACGACTTAAATTTAGAACGAATTACCGAAGTAATTTCACCCTGGGCTCCAGAGGTTCTAGTTCGCTTCTTGTAACGAGCGAGCGCCGAGACTTCCAAGCAAAGCAGCAAACGCCGGAGCGAGAATAAAATACTGGACCCCAGGGTAAAGGAATTTAAAGTTAAACAAAGCAAAATTTGTATGATTACTTAATAGACCTCTTCGGCTCTGACGTAATGTTTCCCCATCTCAGACCACATGTCATTCCCTAGAGTATCATTTCTTTGTTTAAGGTTTGCGCTCGGTTGCACATGAGAAGATACATGAATATGAATACAACTGAAATAAAGAATATTATTCTCAAGGGAATGACACGTGGTCTGAAATGGGAAAACATTACCCCAAGCCGAAGAGGTCTATTCAGGACCTGCTTACACGCGGCACAGTAACGACACAAAAAATCCATAAGCGACAGTTATTTGTTTTATTACTCAGTATACTTCATTCAGTTATATTTTTTATTTATGTTGTAATTACTAACCTTTTTGAATAGTTCCGGTGAAGCAGCAACACTTCCTGTAGTCTTGAGGTATTCTGCCCACGTGAAGGTGTCAACTTCGTCATCTAGCAAGAAAGAAGGTTATGAAATCAAATAAAGAAAGCATAATGGAATTTTTTTGTACCATAATGTTTTCCCATTACAAACCACGTGTCATTCCCCAGAGTATCATTTCTTTGTTTAACGGTTGCGCATGTAAAGACACATGAATATGGATAAGTCTCAAACTAAGAATAATATTCTCAAGAGAGTTACACGTGTTCTAAAATGGGAAAACATTACACTCAAGGGTAAAGACATCGTGAAGAGATGCATGTATTGGATACCAGGTAGCTACTGCTTGCATTTAGCTGTGCTAATAACTTGTGAATGGCTCGTCCACGCCAGAACGAAGTTGATCAAACCCGTTAAACTAATCATAGCGCGTGAACTCAACGCTCATCCAATCAGCATGCTTCATATAGTTGACTTACCGTTGGGTGGGTTAAGTTTTCCACCATGAGCCTCGCACCATCCAACAGGATGAATATACGGTGAATCTTCCTCACACCAGTAGTCGTACGTGTCATCCCATTCGTCAAAATGGACCAGAAAACGATTACCAATCACGTTGGTTACTGTGGCAACGCAGATTAGATCCGGGTTCTTTCGATCTATAGCTTCAAGCTTCATGTCAACTTTAAAGCCATGTCTTGTTTGGGAGACCTGGGAATGAGGAATGATTAAATCAATATGAAGTTCCAAAGAGTAAGTATATCGAAACAAAGCTGATTCAGGAAAATGGTAACTGACAGCTTACTTGTTTGAACAGATTGCTGGGAACTGCTTCAGAACCTTGATCTTTTATGTAGAAGTCAAAATCAAACTCAGATACAGGAACACCTAGTTAACAATGATAGTTCATCATCATTATCATAATCATTATAATCATCACTGTTAACTGTCACATACCTCTCGGCGCGCTTAGAGTCTGTCCATTCTTTGCACACCACCCAACCGGGAAGATTAACGGCGAGTCTGCATTGGTCCAGAAATCGTAGCTTTCCGACCATCCATCGAAGTGGAGCCTCACCCGTGCCCCCCTGACCCGAACAACAGTGCACACACAGATGTATGAAGGATGTTTAGGATCAATGGCTTCTAACTTCATTCCTCTTACGTACTCAGGACAGGGCTTTGGGAACATGTTAAGTTCTGGGTTTTCCTAGTTGTACGGCAATGATACTGTTAATAACATATATTATGAAAAATATTATTATATCGAGCGACTGTTTTTCAATCGAAGTGCATCTTGGGAGCGGCGCCGATTTTTGTCTTTTTTTAGTCTGTGCCAATCGTGAATTTTACACACACAAAAAATACTAAGCCGTTTTAGTTGGTTTTATTGGCAGACGCCGAATTTTGTAAAGAAAATTGACTGAAGAGGATCTTGCAAAACTCATAAATCATTAAGTTGAATTATATTAAATTCGAGCTAGATATTAAAAAATCCCCATTTATAGTTTCCATCACAGGTCGACTGTCAATTTAGCAATATGGTAACAACTTAAGCTTATATTCATATGTTAAAGAATTTTAGATTCGCCATCACATGATTACCCTTCCCAGTCTGTCTAATAACATATTACCAGCACGAATATTATTAAAGTCTTCGACTTTTCTTTCATTTACCTGTTGGAAAACGCTGACAGGAACAGCTTTTGAATTACTTGCATATAGATAATCAACCCATATGAATGGCTTGCTTGAATCATAAGGAACTAAAAAGAAATATAATTGCTATTAGAGAAAATACAACCGACATAGATAATGCCGATTCTTAATACTACAATCCTTATAATTGTTTTTCAAGGCAGTTATTTCAATTATTTGCATAAAATGTGAATTTAAATGTAAAGTCTAAAGTCTTTTTTTTGGAAATCCAATATTCAGTCATGTGATAAGATGCGATGCGATTGGCTTCTTGCGGTCATGTGACACAGAGTTGGTAAGGTTTTCGCGCCATTTTTTTCACTGGGTTCAAATCCAACACAGAAACGTTTCCTCCATTCCTTTTTTTTATATATTTTTTCTCCGTACTTCCTATGGAATAGTTTAACCACAAGGACCAGTGTATAGTTTAGTTCGGTACCATTATCAGTTGAAGCCAAACTTGCAGCATCGAGATGAATTCGTTTGATTTTTTTCTTGGTTCCTTTGATTTTTTTGATGGTGACAGGTCCGCCACCAACTTTATTTACTTCTGCTTCGTTTTTGACTGCCTTAAGCTGTCCATTCTGTCCAAAACCAGAAAAAAAATACAGTTTAATAATTTCCTTACACAATGAAATCCTATAACAAGTGGTACACTTACCTCCACAGAAGTTTCAATTGTTGAAGGAACTTTCTTCTTTCTCTTCTTGATTATTTTTCCATCCAAAGTTTTGACGTGTCGGACGAATTCCCTTCCTTTATTTCTTCGTCCTGTGTACATTCCTACACACTTGAGACCGCAAAACCTTCCAGAGACACAGAAATCTTTTGGCAAACCATATTTACCACACACTTCACAGCAAAGGACATGGCTGGCATCTGGGGGCCCTTTCATCATGTCACTCTTGGTAGGTGTCTTTGACTTGGCTGAAGATTTACGAGTTTTGATATTTATTATTAAAACTAAATGATAGAATTCTAAAGAAAATGTCAATCTTGATGTTGTAATAGGATTTAGGTAGGGTGTTGTTGATTAGCAAGGAATGGGTAGATGATGAATGGAAAAATGTACAAGATGGGAAAGTAAACATTATTTGGAATGTGAGACAAGTTATGGCTTGTCATTCTGATATAAACAGTGGGCATAATCCAACTTATTAGAACGTGGTCAGGGACAATATAGAGGGGGGATTTCTTTCTCTCTCTCTAAAGCTGTCATGAGTCCCACCCACATAGTGCCAGAGGGCGGATCAGGTGGGGCTATGTCTCTAAGGCCTCTGCTGGCCATCACTCCCAGAAAATATTTACCATCTTTGCTTGTCTTGATTACAGATACTGGTGTACTGGTCTCGCTGTTCTTTACAGCTTCTTGTGGGTTCATGTCTTGTTTGGTTTGGCTAGTAAATGTACTCATTTCCACTTCTCCCTTCTCTGTTTCTACTGTACTCACTATTTCTAGGGTTCCAAACTCRGTCATCTTGAACTTCAGACTACTCCCTATAGAATGTCCAATTCAAATAATCCATCAGTAAAAAGTAAGTACTATTTGAAAAAAAAATTATAAAGAGAATTTCTGGAATCTAATCAGTTTGTACTTAAGTTAGCTCTCAGGTTTTATCAAACAACATGGTCACCATTAACTTAATTCTGCTTTCTTCATGCATTTAAGTTAAACAACAAAGTTAYATATGAAAACCATAGCATTTTGCCCGCTTAAATCTTAGACAAGTAGAGCATACATTTCAATTTTGTTTTCTTATCAGTAAATTATCAAGATGTACATACTCCACATACATGATAAAGATGTTCCAAATTTAACATCCAAAAATTATATCTATAGGTATATAATGCTTTGCGAATCAACTTTAAAAAATTTAAATATAAAAGAACTAGTCAATTTTAAAAGTATCAAATTACAGTATATCTAGATACACTTTCAGCTCTCAGACATGCCATAAAGACCAAACTCATTAACTTATTCACAATTCATAAGCTTGGTGATAAGAAGTAAGATAACACAGGAAAAGATTTAAAGAGGAAGTACAAATATTTTTATTATGAAAAATCAATATATTTTGCATTGAATATACCTGGTTTTTTAACCAATCAATTGCATTTAAAGATTACCTGGTAGAGTTGCAATGCCATCTTTCCAGTCAAGACCTGCTATTGGGTCATCAAATTCAGTACCTTCTGTTGGTTTCTTATCATTCTTTACAAGAGTTTCTTGAATACCATATGAGGAAGTTGACTCTTTGATTGTTGGTTTTACAGTGTGATCCTTTTCTTCTGTCAACTGATTCGATATCTCAGTTAATAATTTTGGCACATCTGTTTGGATGCCRTTTGAAATGTTAATCTTTTCAGAGCCAGTGTTGGAACCTATTGTTGTGGTAGATGTTTTGACTGGGGAGTTAGTTTTATTCGGTGAAATATCATTGCTGCCATCAGTCACTATCAAGTCATCCTTTTTGGTAATGGCTCCTATAAATTGGGGATCAATTGAAATTGTTAGAAAATAAACTTATAACTAAAAAATAATAATTAATCATGAAAAACATAAAAAACATTAACAACGATATGAAATTTAAAATGATAATGATATAAACATTTGTGGTCAGCACTGGAGAGAAAATTGACCTATAGCATTAATGATCATATTTCTATAATTCATTTATTCATTCAAAATTTATCATGTACCATTTTCTTTTTCCACTTCACTCTCAACACCAGTTTTGCTTTCAGTTTCTATCTTGTTTCTTTTCGCTGGTGGCTCTATTTGCTCCATGTCAGAAGAACTTGTAATGAAGTTATTTTGAACTGTAGTGACAGAATCTTTCTCGATCTCCATTCCCTGTGAAAATCAAGTAATTTTTATTCAATTTCTTCCTAGTTTTCTCATTCATTTGCAAAGTAAAAAGTGTTACATTCCCCTAATTTGTATGCAAGGCAGTGCATATTCCCATAAGGTTCTTAATAAACCTATTAGAGAATATTATCTAAAGTTCCCTAAAGTGATGGCTAGATTTCAGGTTCCCTCCAGAGGATGTCCTCTGGGTTCCCTCCAAAATTGTTTTAATGATTTCCCCTTCCAATACAAAATAAACAATTGCCAAAGAAAGTTGATGCACCTAAGAAACTAACAAAAAAATATGTAAGAATTAGAATTAGCAGAGTCATTTCCATCACTAATTTCCCCCAGAGCTTGGGAGAAAATCCACAAACCTTTGAGAGAATCAACAAATGAATTTAGCTAACATGCAGCATTGTGTACAAGTGTGTATGAAACTGGGAGTAGACTTTTTTTCATCTTGATGCAATGTTTTCCTATTTCGGATTATTTGCCATTCTCTTAGAAATATTGACAATCAGATTGATAGCTTTGAAATGTTTAATTTTCTAATATCATGTATAATGTTATGTCATTGTTGGGTGTYTTAAGGAAGTACCTCTTGTTATCATTAAATCTTACACTGCTACTAATAATATTATACTTCAATTGTTAATATTAGCAAATCAGTTATTTGGACAACTTACAGCCTGACATAAACAATTTATCTTGACCTTATTAAACTATTACTAGAAGGTGTCTTCTATACAGTGCATGTCTATAGATTATTTACCTCTATAAACAAAAATTTAACTTGAAGATGCTAACATCATTATTATATCATTATCTAAAAACATTCATTCCTGTCATTATGTTGGTATAAATTGGTGATGCAAATTTTAATAACCGCGCAACTTAATATTAAACTTGATAGAGCTTCCAAATGCATGATAATTTGTTAAAAGCCGTAAATGTACATGTATGAATTTGGCATACATGAAAAATAAAYATTGCTTAGGGCTATTTGAAGGATTATTAAACCAACTAATTAATCATTCTATCTTAGAAATTACCATTTTAAGACTCTTAATATCAACACAACCGAGATGTTTCATAATATCTAAAACTTTCATCTTTAACATTTAAAGAACATGGTTTATTAAGGTAATAAGGCCTGAGAATTGGGTATTTTAAACGTGTAAAATAAACCTACACCCTCACTTAACCCTTTACAGACAGACAGAAAGCTTTATTTAAACAAGTTTAATTTAGACATCAGCTAATGTTAGATAAATATTATGATCAGTTATGATTTGATATGTAACTCAGACGATGTCCCTCACAGAAACTTGCAACTAATTCATTATTGTTCATGTACATGTATCATAATTTTATAGCTAGCCAGTTCCAAGATCCTTTGGATCCAGACCTACTCAAAAACTGGGTTTCAGAAACCTCTTATGACAAGATATTTGACTTCTAGATAACTGGATTAAAAACATTATAGCCAGACTTCAAATTTATTMTTTACAAGTTCAAACACTGTTTTTGACTTAATATTACTGTTTGTAAAGGGATTAAACCTCAACAAAAACCTCATTAAAAACCCAAACAAGCCACTATTCATTCTTCCTAAAATTGATGATGTTCTTTAAAATTGCAGGTCTTCTTTTCTCCTTTTTTAGAAAATATCAGTTTTGAATTTTAAAAAGAAATATCTTTCAATTACTGTATCAAAAATTCAAATAAAAAGTTATAAAGATTGGAATACATCATTAGTTATGATTGATTGACATTTTACCTTTTGAGAAAATCTTGGTTGTGGAAGACTAATAGATATTAGGATGAAATTATGACATAAAATGTCATTTTGTATATTTTTCAATATATATTTTTTTATTGTTATTTTCTTTCCAACTTGGAAAAAAGATTGTTCAGTTTGAAAGTTCTAGTAGGTTCAATTTAGAAAAAATAAACCAAGGTACAATTTAGAAAACTTGTAGAAAAAAACTTGTCTAAATCAAAAAAGTCTAGTTCACAATTGATATTTTTATTAACACACCAGCAGCTTTAACTGGATATAAAAGATATCATGCTTTTGAAAACAAAAAAAGTCACTTTAATAAAACAGTAAATGTGGTACTTTCCAAAAGTTTAGGAATAATAATTTTATAGCTTTTTTTAAGGCAAGAGAAACATTCTGAGTGTGTTAAGTCTCTGACTCATTTATTCAAATGTCTGTAAAATGATACACCTTTTTGGTATATTATTCTGCTTCAGTATGAATAAATTTGTAGCCGTTTCTTGTAATATTTTCATATTATTTGTTTTCAAGTTTTATAAAACACCCAAAGAAACAAAGCCTTTTGTATTTGATTTCGAAATAAACTTTATGCTTAGAGTTTAGATAAATAAAGAAAAAATATTTTGACTAAATGATATAGTTTATTCAAAGCGTACACACGATGGGTAAAATATCGTCTTTTGTGCTATGACCAGGTGTTTTTTTGTCCAAAGTCACGTGATGGCAGCTGCCCACATGTCCTTTGGAGAAAGTTTTACAAAAACGAAAACTTTCGTAGTGTTTTTTCCCTCGAAAGCAAATATCTCATAAATAAAGATTCGTCCTTTTGCCGTAGCAAACAAAAAACAAAAAACAATTAGCAAGAATGCGTCTTTAACAGACCGTAAAGCCAAAATCCCAAAGGCGTAAAGATCATACAGTGTTTCCCTATTTAAATTTTTCCCGGTTTCAGCTCTTGCGTTTTAACCCAAACGCGCTAAAAAAACGTCTTTGATATTTCACTTGGTTTTTGTACTTTCATTGTTTGATTTACTTTCTGCTTTCTGACAATAGTAAAAAAAACCTATTACATTGATGGTCTTACCGTCTTGCTACACTATTGCTAAAGAAAGTGAAACGTAGTCCGCATAAATTTAAGAATTAATTTTTGACACCGTTGTCTTAGCAATCTTATGTCATGCAGACTTTTCGAAAAAGTCGAAAGCCTCCAATTTATTAAACGAAGGATAGATATTTAAATTCAAGYTAGAAACGAAAGGAAAAGCTTTTTAAAAAGAAAGATCATACACGCTTATTGTCAAGACGAAAAAACCGCACTCCTTTATGTCCTGGTACTCGTCAAAAAATATATTTTGTCTTGGCGTTTAAAACGGGAATAATACTTCTCGTCTTTCGTCAAAAATAAAAGGTTATGATTCCATTGGATTTTCGATCTTTTTCAATGAATTTCAAAACCAGTTGTGTTTGTTTTGATATCTCGTTATCGTCCTTGCGTTATGGAGAGCATTTAGTGCAAACACGAACAAGGATCAAAACTTATGAATATTTGGTTTTTCGCTTTTACTTTTCGCCTACTGTTGGCCATGAGATACAAAACAAAGAACTTTCCTTTTATTTAACCCGGATAACAAAAATGAAATAAAAACTCCACGGCCTGAACGTAAAAATTATTTCAGTATTTTCTTCCATAATTGCCGACGATAAAAAAATTTTCGCCTTTTATTTATTCGACATTAAAAATTATTTTACATTGAATTTTATTTCCGAAACCAGTCCGTTGAAAGTACCAAGTTTAAGAAAAACCCTTCTCGAGATTTCCTTCACATGTATCAAATTTTTTTACCTTTGAAACACTTTTTTTATTACTTGGCTTATTTTGAGACAAGAGATATTATTTCATCGGTGAATATCTCTGCCAGTTTGGAAGCAATAGCGTATTTTTATTACCGCGAAAAATGACTTGCTTTATTTATGGTGATCGAAGTGTTAGCACGCTTCAAGTGTTTTGCCGGGTTCGGAATATCAATCAGTTTTATTGTAATGTGACTTTCCTTTTAAGAAATAGTCTCTCTGTTGCCGATATTTCGCTATTGAGAAAAACCCCAGAGCTTTTCAAGTCTTTGCCAGTATTTTGTGGTAGTTGGCTTTTCACGTAAAACGAAGAACGGATTGGGTTTGAGCTTTTTTAGAAATACTTGACCTCACTTCCATGCATGAAGCCTGTGTTTCTTCTTTCCTYTGGTGGTAGCTCTTATTTTCTGTGTTATTTTGTAGTTAGTTAAATTTCTACTTACCTTTTTACCTAATAGAATTATTAAGAATGTGATTATTCTATAAACGACCCAAGAATTTTTGATCTAGCGAGAAAGTCCCTTAAAAGACTGTCTTAACATCTATAAAAGTGACAAATTTTAAGTCATTGCTTTACATCTCAGAGTAGATTGAGTTGAAACAACCCACTTTTGAAATAACCCGAACAACGCAAATATCTAGCAAAATTTGTCACACAAAGGACGTTTAAGTACTAGTCAACCTTCTTGGGTCATTTAGGTTGAAATTTGAGTTAGATAACCTTTCCAAAACAAGATTTCAAAAACCTTACCAGACGAGAACTGATTTCTTCAACACTCTTCCCTACAGAAATGAATTTGAGAAACAATAAGATCGCCTGCCGTTTATCTAAACTGCCAATCACATGCCAAAGAACAATTGAACCACGTGATAAATCTATTATTATGCAAAACCACCGGAATCTTTTCCGCAAGACCAGAATTTTCAATTAAGAGTGAAAGAAACAAGATTTTTTCGCGGAAGAAAGCTTTTTTCGGATACTAAATTGCCATTTTCGATTTCCCCAATATTCAATTCAAGTTGTTTACTTATTTTTTGTTGCTTTAATTCGTATAAAGACGCTTATATTACTCGTTAAAGAATGCAAACTCGAAAGTTCSTTCAATATACTAGGCCTACGTCACAAAGCGAAGACCTAATGGTTTTGATTAAGTCGACAACCACAGGGTTTGGTAATAAAAACAAAATTGCCACCCTTTTCGAAAATTAAGAGAGATATTTTACATCACTGAAAAACCAGGCTTTAAATGATCCAATATTTCTTGCTATTCATCATTAAACCAAACACAGATCTCCATAGCCGAGAAACTGTTGTGTTTGCCAAAGAAAAACGCATATCCACAACTCGGTTTCTTTGCCAAACATGACCTACCAACAAAAATAATCGTGCCCTTTCAGAAGAAAATAAAGACTAAAGTATTTTCTTCCTTTTTCCTAAGTTTTGAGCATTCTGAAGTCAATGACTAAAAAAAGCAAGTTCTAGGAATATTTTTCATCCTTTATAACCCTTATTTAAGTATAAAATAACTTAAAAATCAGGGCTGTATAAGAAGGCTGCTGAGTAAAAATTAAAGTGGCTTTTGCGTGATTCGGGTCAGTCGCGGTGCTTTTTTGACAATTTATCTTGAATATCATCAGTCGGTAGATATATTTCTTGAAAATTCATAGCTATATGACTGATTTTTAGCTAAAAACTAACCCGTTGCTGAAAATATACGATTTTAAAAGTGTTATTATTGAATTCATCCAAGCGCGGTATGAGTATTCGGCTTTAACTGGAGTTTTCTTTCCATCAACACATCACCAATTATTATTGATTGCCCGAAAAATTTTCTTCGACTCAATCTTTAATGGAAAACTCATGAGTAAAACAGCAAAAGAAGAGGGAAAGCGAAAAAACGTTTCAGACATAAGTACAAAGATATTTACGACACCACAAAGTACCATACTACGCTCTTGACGACTCAGTAAAATAATTTAGATAGTAAAGATTTATTTTCAAAAAATATACATGATGATTTTTGTATTTACAGCAAAGAAAATTTTACTAAAATGTACGAAATAAAAAGGAAAAGATTTATAATTGAATTTTATGAAGGTTTTTAATGGTTTCAGTGAACAATAATGTCAAAAATATCTCTGCTGTATTAGTACATTTGAATAATGATTGTTGTGCGCTGGTACCGTAAGATCTCGGCTTTGTAAATGTTTCCTTCATTCTATAGTGTTTTTTTCTATCAGAATAAAATAATTTAGATTTTCCAACATTTTTGCTCAAAAAGTCTCAGTTGCAAACAAAAGTCATTCCATTTTCAGTTATTTTCGTTTTGAAAACCACTGATATGAATATTTTGGACATTTCTGAATCAGGGAACATCGCAAACGGCTGCAAACATATTGAAAATGACCATAATCCATTCCCTTTCTATGTTATCTCATAATTTTTGTATTCATAAAATACATTTTTCAGAAATGTTTGTCTTTTACCTTTACAACACTGTAATCAATTAAATTGGTGATTTGAACTTAAATTTGCCGTTGAGAATCGAGCTTAAAAGGCTTAAATATTTTATCTTTTCGAAAAAAAAAAAAAAGGGAATTTCCCCCCACACATGTTGAACGCGTGTTTTGTTTTCTTTGAAAGCGCTTTGCAGTTTCTGCTTTTACAAAGAACTCCATCTTCATTTTTTTAACTCAAGCAATTGTCTGCCGGTCGTTTTGTTACCACAACAAGATAAAAAATTTAAAGTCTTAAACATTTATCAAAATGTAAATACTAAAGCTTTTATAATTTCCATCGCAGATCCTAATATGATAGACACAATAAAAATATATATCCTTCCTTGACAATAAATGCGAGCAAGTAGAGTAATATTTCGACAATAACGATGTAAATATTTATGACTCTCATCTACATTAAAATAATAACTAATTTGTACCAATTTTAACGTTTCATTTACGAATTTTAAGTTTAGAGTCACAGAATTGATACATAAATTTATTGATCAGTTATTTTAGGTTATCCTATAATTTCTTTTCTAGTTTTCAAGTAGGCTTTTATGTCTGTTGCTAGGTATGTCCTTTTAATTTGCATAATTGTTATTGAAAGCTTTTAATGATTATTGATAGCTGTTAGATGTTTAGATTCTGCATATTTCGATTCAACTTTCTTTCTTTCTTTTTTTTTTTTTTTTTTCATTTTTTTTTTCCTTCTTCTTCTTCTTTTTTTCTTTTCTTTTCTTTTCTTTTCTCTTTTATTCTTTCTTTTTTTTCCGTTCATATGCTG